ATACCTATATATACGTCTATGGAAGAGAGTTGCTCGTGTAAAATATAGCGAGTGCGAAGGTAGTGAGGAGGCCGGGGTCCTCTCTCGGCAATCAGGGGTGATTACGGGTGTAATTACGGTTACGGCGCATTGCTGCGCCACGAAAAGAGAGAGGGAACATTGTTTCTTTCTGGGAAACCGACAGGTTTATGGGGATCGTTCCTTCGCCGTTTTTTCTTGTCGTGATGCGCGCGCTCGCGAATCGTTGCCACGACCGAACAACCGCTCTTTTCCATCGCTTTCTTATTTTTTTCTTTTTTTTTTCTCTCTCCTTTATCCCTTCGTGCCAGAGAATTCCACCCTTGGAAAACCTCGCGTGTTCTCTTTCATCGATCGATGACACATTCCGTGATCTATTTTTATCATCATAGATAATAATGAATTTTAGAAAGCATTTTCGAGTGATTGTATAGTTCGATAACTTCTGATGTTTTTGTTCTTTATTAAAATTAGTATAATATTCGTTCGACAAGAAATACATAATTATTTAATATTATTTATAATTTTGATAATCTGTGAGTATAACACAGAAAGTCTCATAAGAAAAATTCGCTTCGAAACTCGGATCAATCGTAAAACGACGAGTAACAATTCTGACAATTACAAGTTCGTGAAGGAATCCCATTTTCCGATTGATTTGTCCACGAATAATACATAGACAATTCGCGATTCCTTTCACCCCGTTCCTCGCTGCACCCTTAGATAATCACGAGTGGTGAGATTCCCCTCGTAACCCTCTTTCCCTCGCATCTCGATCGTAAAAAAGTAACAACGTTGCTGGTTCTGGGCGTGGCGGTCGGGCAAAAAGGAAGAGGGAGGAAGGAAAGATGGAGAAAGGAGAGTAGTAGTAGGAGAGGGTAGAGAAAAATAGGAAGGAAGAGGAGGAAAAGAGGAAAGGGAGATATGGAAGAGGAGGGGGAAGGGGAGAAAGATGGAAGGAATGGGTTCTCGAAGATGGAGAGGAAAAAAAGGAGGATGGAAGAGGACGTAAGATCTCCGGGGCTCCGTCCTCGTGACTAGAGGGAATCTCTAGTGGGATAAGGTTGGTCGGCGGGGGCCCCATGGGCCCCG